TGGCCTCTGGGCTGCTCGGCCAGGCAACCATGTCACTTGGTTCTCGTCACAGTAGAGAGTCCCTGAGTTTCACCCTACACAGGCACCACGGTCCCCAGTCCCCAGCGAGGCTGCCAGAAAGCCACGCCACCCAGGGCCAACGTGGCAGCTGGGCTGTCCATGGCCTTGGCAAACAGGAGCTGCTGTGTCACCGGCTTCCTGACCTGCAGAATGAAGCCACGCCGGTCACAGACTGCTGCCTCCCTCTCCGTCCCTCTTCCCCTTCCTGCGCTTCAGAGGGTGCATCCTTCTGCGAGCAGCAAACCTTGGTCCATGATCTGTCGGGCGAGCCCAGCAGGGACATGCTCGCTGGACTTCCCAGCTGTCCCTCAGGGCATCGTCTGTCTTGTGCAGGTAAACCTCCCGAGGGGCTAGAAGGAAACCTGGTTGGGCCCGGCATGGCACCGACACTCCCACCTGCCTGAGGAAGGTGCCTTGGGGGTCAAAGGCACAGCGGCCCTTCGCTCTAGGCAACAGAAGTGGCAAGAACTACTTGTGAGCGGGTCACACTTCAGCAATTCCAGTTCCATGTGACATGACCACACTGGCGAAGGGTGCACCACCTCTCGTAAAACACACCACCCCTCCGTCACATTCCTGCTGCAAGACTCACTCACCCGCTTCATCTCTGGCTTAGTCTAAAATGAAGTAAGCCCCTTCGCTTCCAGCTCTGGCCTCCCTATAATTCATTTTCCAAGTGCAGCCTGAGTGATCTTTTCAGAGGGTAAATCAAATCACATTGCGCTACAGCCAAAAACTCGCCAACACTAGGCTGCTCTTCCGACCTCCTAGCCATCGCCAGTGCCGTTCCCTCTCCCTAAAACACCTTTCCCTCACATCTTCCCCAAACCCACTTCTTCACAACAGCCTTGCTATGCAGCCAGTCTGAGGGGGCCAACACCACCCTACCCAGCCATGCTGTAACTCCTTAGTGTCATTCGAAACCTCGTGGCTTTTATAGCCATCTGAAATATGCTTAGTTATCACCTTACATGCAGATGTGTGGCTCTACAGCAAAAAAAAAAAAAATACCCCACGAGAGCAATTCCACCTGACTTGTTCACCACTGCACCCCTGAGCCCCCAAACAGTGCCGGGCACAGGGGAGGCAGATGGGAGGGAAGGGGCAGAGGCTAAGGACAGGGAGGGGTGGGAAGAGAGAGTGGAGGGAGGAAGAAGTGGGGAGGGAGAATTCACGTGACCGCAGGGGGCTGCTGGTGTTTCCCAGGTACAACCAGGGGCTTTGGAAGAAGACATCAGTCACAGAAGGGGACACGGGGGCAGAGAAAAACCAGTGTCTGTGTGTACAAAGCTTACATTTCAGAACCAAAAAAAAGGGCCTGCTTTGGGGTGGGTGGAGGACCGGAGGAGAGGGGGAGTGAGGATGCATCCTGCCCTGGAATATCACTTACTTTGCTAGTTCAAACAGAAGATTTTTTGAAACTGTCTCAAGCCCTTGGAGTGGAGAAAATTGGAAGTTGTATTTTGGAGTTCCAAGAAAAAACAGCCCAGACAGACAGTGTCTGGGCACAGGAATGCAGCTTGGGGAGAGGAGACAGAGATGAAAAGCAGACGGAACACGACTCGGCCAGGTGGGACACCCAGACAAGACCCGGGGTCGTCGGCACAGGGTCCGGAACAGATTACCAAACACTGGGGGCTTCCCGGGGTCACGGGTGAGTGGCGTGGTCGACTTCTAAGATACCTGTTTGCACTTGGACCATGCCTGCTGGTGACCCCTTCCTTTTTCTACCTGTGGAAACCCCTGGACCCTCCAAATGCTAATCCTAGCTCTCACAAAGTTTCCAAGGAAAGCCTGCTTTGCTGAAACCCCAAGGCAAACAGATGGTACCTGAGAAACAACCTGGAAGCACATCCTGCTGGAGTTCATGTGGCCAGCTTCGTGTTTTGTGGGGGAGATGCCCTTGGGAGCCATCAATGAAAGGGACAGGAAAGGATCTGGAAACCTGGGATCCTAGCCTCCTAACCAGACGAGGGGAATGATGCAGGAATTCCCAGTCCACCTCTCAACAATAAACCAAAACGACACACCGAGCCGTGTGAATCCCTGCCTGTGAAGCCAACAGTGGTATCGGATTGTCCCGTGGCTATCAGAAGGCCCATTAGGGGGATCTGAAATTCCAGCATCAGGAGAAAGACTGCAACCCACCTCTTCCTGGTGGCTACAGGGTGGCGCAGCTGGGGGCTTACCAGTGGGCACAGCCAGAGGGTCCTGCATGGGGCAGAGCCTGGGGGACAGTGCTGGTCAAGCACTGAACATCTAACCAGCAGCCACACTGCCGCCCTTTGGGGGCCCCCGGAACGTGACACCCAAGAACTGAGCAGCCCACACACAGCCCAGGGAGGTGGGGCAGCTCTGGGCGACAAAATGACAGTCCGTCACGTTCTTTCCCCCACGTGTGGGAGAAGGGGTGTTCCCGGCCTGCCGTGGAGGACCACGCCAGGACTCCACAGCACTCCAGGGCTTCCCGCACTCCACGGCTCTGCCCACGCCGGGCACAGAACCACCTGAATAGTCCCCTGGCACTGTGCGCTCTCTCATCTGGGAGTGGCAAAGTGCCACCCCCCTTATCTGAGAGATGACTAACGTCCACTAGTGCATTCAAAGTCTGAGAAGTCCCTCCGTGACCGGAGTTTTTACAAAGCTTGGTTTAAATGCATTTTTTCAGTCTTTTAAAAAGTACAGTGTAGGGAATGTACTCAGCAACATTGCAATAACTACGTACAGTGCCTGGTGGGCACTTGAACTATTGGGGAGCTCGCTTTGTGAAGCGCGTGACTGTCTGGCCACGCTGCTGCACGCCTGACAGCTAACACAAAATAATACTGAATGTCACCTGTAACTAAAAAATAAAATTGAAATTGAAAAACTAAAGCCTCACATCAGAGAACGCTTCCTCCGAGCCCACGGGACTGGGCTTGTGCAGAAGGTTCTTAAGAAAAGGCTCCAACAGGAGAAGCGATTGCCCCCAACTCAGTTCTCGGAGACCTGCATTAGGGCCGCCCCGGCACTGATCTTCTGGGGGCTCCCTCCCACCTGAACCTGCCCCAGTTTAGAATGATGCTCAGGAGGCCTGAGAAGGCCTCCATTCTCGGCTGCTTGCTCTACAATGCAGGCTCTGGAGAGAACGAGGAATACCTCTGTGGCTGTGGGGCTGGGGCGGACTCGCAAAGGTGACTCCTGACCTTTGCAGGCCCACCTGGATGCTTGTGGGCCGGAGAGAGCTGGGCATAGACTCACTCCTGCCCGTTAGGGATCGCTCGCCATTCATCTTTACTGTGGGAAGACGGAGGGGCAGGACAGGGAGAGACGGGCCTGAACGTCTCTCATTCTGGACACTGAACCAAGCCCAGACACAGAGCGAGCTGGGGAAAGCAACCCGGCCCGTTTGCTCATTTATTTATAAAGCACTGAAGCCCGGAGGCGTGACCCCGGGTGCCCGTGGAGGCAGGTCTGGTTACAGCCGCCTGTCATTTATCTGCTCGCAACAGGCATGCTGTGTCAGCTGGCTTTGCATGTGACATTCTCCTTTAAAAGAGGCACCAAAAATCCACCTGAGCCCTTTCGGGTGTCATTCGTTCAAGAATGCACTGCCCGTGGACCTGCCTTTCAAAACCCAGCCCAGGGGCCCTGCCTTAGCCTGTCTGATCATTCAGGGTCAGACGGGTCAGTTACTGATGCAGCAAAGCCCTGAGGTGAACCTTGCTAGGCACAGGGGCGGGGGGCGGGGCGGCCTGACACTCCACATCCCAAGTGGCCCAGAGAGCTTCGCTGGATGCATTTGGGGAAAGCTTTTGATAGCTTCACTAGCTAGGAGACGCGAAACTTCTAGAAGTCCCAGTGCCCCAGACAACCCTCATCACCAACACCTTGCCGGAAGCAGAAGTCAGCGGTCCCTGAGCCAGCACCAAAAACAATTCCCGTCCCTCGAGGGTCTGATATCCAGCACCTGGTCTTTATGATAACTCTTGTGGCGATTTCGAAGCTTTCTGCCTTACTTCCTACTCCTTGGCTGGGTTCCTGAGAGCAAATTTTCCTAAATAATTGAGGTTCAGGGGGCATCAGACACTACTGTCTCCAAAAGTGTGAGGCTGGCGCTGTAGGGGGGCAGCCAGCAGTACAGGTTTTCCTTCTCCCACTAAGAAACCCCAACCACCTGTTTGCCTGTGTGGCCCCCCAGGGGAAGGCATCTGGCTGACTCCAGGAGAGTGTCACAGACCAATGTCACCTACCCAGCCACTGCAGTAAGACTAGCCTCCAGCTGGGCCCCCACTGACACACTCAGGCACCTACAGACTCACACAAAGCTGCCCCCACACTTGTCCTGGGCCCACCCACCCCATCTGCTGGGCTCACCACAGCGGAAGCCTGCTGTTCCCCTCCCATCAATGTGCCTCTCTGTTCCCCGAGCGCACGGCGGAGAGGTGCCCGCAGCCTGCCTGCCAGCTCCCATTCATGCTCCCTTCTCATAGAGCCCCCTTTTCAGTGAGCCCGCTCCTTCCCTGTTCTCCACGCCCCCTGCAACACACAAAAGAGGGCTATAAAGTGGGTTTTTTCTCTACAGGAATAAAAGGTTAGCTTTCCTTCCTTTCGGTTTTCCTATCCTTGGTCTAAATTTGGCAAATGGAAAGCGAGTGGAAGCAGTGAAACTGACCCGGTTCACGACCCTGGGGGACACTCCTGTGGCCAGAACATTTGCTCTTTCTTTCACAATGCCTGGGGGGGGGGACCTATAACTCTTACCACCCACCCCAAAAGTCCTGCTGGGAAATGATTCATGCACAGACTTGGGTAAGGCCTTCAGGGTCATCGTATTCACCCCTTAAATTACAGAACGGACCCTGAGACCCTAAGGGGTGAAGGAGATACCCAGGCCACCCGTGACCGGGGTGAGTTTCGGGCGCAGTCCTCACAGGCAATAAGAAACACGGGCATCTTACCGTCATCCAAGTAGGTCTGATCCAAGTTCTGCTCCTGTTTAATTGTCACTCCTGCAGGCAATACTTCCTTTTGGTCACTGACCGGGGGTCCGTTTTTGGCGGCTCTTTGGCTTGTGGCATTCTGCTGCTGAATGACTGTGGGGTAAGACCCCGGGCTCAGCCTCTGACCTTGACTGACCGGGGGCGGGCCGGGCCTGGTGGTACTGGGTGCGAAATTCTCGCAGTACATGATGTGCTGGAACTCCTGGTGGCTCCCGCAGCGCAGCTGCTGGTTGGTCGGCGAGTAGTGGATCACCGGCGAGGCCTGCTGGTTGGCCGGCGAGGAGTGCAGCAGGGCTGAGCCTTGGCCTTGGGAGCCGGCATGCACCAGCACGGAGCGGTGGGCGTCCGAGAGGGACAGGGGGGCCGTCATCAGGGCTGGCTGTTGGTAGCCCAGCAGGCTGGGGCTCAGGCTCTTGCTCCGTTGGTACAGCACGGCCGCTGGGTTCTGCTGCTGGTAGCGGGCGTCGGGCGACGAGAGCCCTGAGCGGAACTGCTGGCAGGGAGCCATGGTGGCCACGAGGCAGGAGGGGGACTCGGCCACCCTGGGGTGCTGTGGGTAGTAAGGCTGGCTCCCCAGGCCCCCGTGGGCGGGACTGCAGATCAAGGTGGGGTCATATTCATCTGTGGGCTCTGTCTTGATGGCTGGGACTGTGAGAAAAGCACACAGGGCGCGCCATTCTTAGTGAGCCACAGACGCGCGCACAGAGGCCTAGTGGACGAAGTTGGGACGGTGGCCTGCGGGGGCCAAACAGGTGACTCGAACACTTGGGCTGTTATTTGTTAGCCTTGGGCAGGGGGCTCCCTGTACGATGGCCTTGGGTCAGAAACCTAACCCTGGGCAATGATTTTGAACTACAGGTCTTTCCAAGAGTGGAAAGATGGTCTGTGAATGGCAGTTCTGTCTCAACCCTGAGACATCTCTGGCCTTCTTCCCCAGGAGGAGAGCTCGGAGAAGGGCGCTTAATTTAAAATCACGCCTCCCCCGCCTCCTTCTGCCCTCCCAGCTCCCCTCCCCCTTGCCGGCTTGTCCTTCATGATACTTAACACCACCTGAAACATTCCGCGTCCTGGACGCTCTCATTTAACAGAACACCCCCCACTAGACTGTCATCTCCCCCAAGGGAGGGTTTTTCTTTGGCCTGTTTCATTCACTGCTGGGTCCCCAGCACCCAGAACAGTGCCTGGATCCCAACTGACACTCAGATATTCAATGGATAAGAATGGTGACGGGTGGCCTCCTCAGTCCTGCAGTACTTCAGGGGGAAGGAGACCCGCTGGCCTGGGCCTCCGCGTCCCCGCCTGCTACTCGGCAGGAACAAGCGCGCTTGCCCTGTGGGGCTGTTGAGGGGGTCGCGAATGAGCTCGCACGCCCAGTCCTGAGCACAGTGACCGGCGCCCAGCGAGTGCTCAATGGTGCTCTGGTTGCTATGATCTTATTTCCACTCTCAGTGGTGCTGTGGTCGCTGCTCTCTCTCTCCCTACCTAGGAGGGTCACCAGAATTTCTCCTTCTCTAACATCCAGGCGCTGAGGAACCAGCTTTGTTTCACTGGATTAAATGAACTGGTGATGGACAGTACTCCAGTCGGGGTCCCTCCCCCCGGGTTGGGGGTTGGAGGGGGCCAGGAGGTTAAGCACCTAAAGCAAAAACACAGCTTTGACACTGACCATGGAAATCATTTCCCAAGATGCCATTCAGAGACCATCACCTCCATCCCTGGCCCGAGTGGGGCACGGAGTTCTTGCTGGGGCCATGGGTGGACAGGTGTTTGCCCACTGGGCCCAGGGAGGGCTCACTGCCGCAGACGAGAGGGGAGAACGGCAGGAAACGTAACTGAGAACCTCGGTGTTAGGAGGAGACAGCCAACAGCCTTCCCAGAGAGTGTCTCTTCAGTTTTAGGTCCCTTTAGAACACTGCCACTCACACATGTCCCATCTGTCCTGGGCTGGGGCCACACAAACCTGTGGACGCACCGCACCTACGCCAAGCCCCCCAGGCCAGGCTCTCAGGACCACCCCTCAGGTTCATGCTTTGAACAGCCCAGAGACTCCCTGTGAAACTGCCATGGGACAGAAATTATACCCTGGGTGACCCTGTCACGTTACAGGTCTCCAACCTGGCAAAGGTGGCCCTCGGGCCTGACTCAAGCCTGGGCCAGCTCACAGCTGGTCTCTGCAACCCCCATCGAAATCTGGCGTATCGACAACATCAGTACGACTGACCATCCAGGTCCCCTCTGTAGGGTACCTGCTCCTCGAGGGCAGGGCTTTGTGTCTGTTTTGTTCACTGCTGGGCCTCAAGTTCAGGACAGTACTGGACACTCAGACATTTTCTGGACAAATGAATGAATAGGACATGGCACTTGTCGCCCTGCGTGGGACTGCAGTGCTTTGTGGGAATGAGCCCTCCCGGGCCGGTTATCCACCCAGGAACTTCACCCACTTGGCTGCAGGGTGACTGCCCACAGTTGGGAGGGTCACCAACACATTGCATGGGTTTCAGGGCTTTGTCACCTCTGCCCTCATCACGACCAAATCTGAGACCAGGAAGGAGCCACCAGCTTTGCCACCTTCTGAACAAGCGCACGCGCGCCTCTCCCAGAAGGAGGTGCTAATGACAGTAATAGCTCATACCATTAATATCAGTCACCACTTGTTAACTGCGCTAAGCACTGTGGTGCAGCTGATCTCAGTAACTCTTCTAAGGAAGGTAACAGGTGACAGAGGAGCAAACAGAGAGGCTGAGTCACCAGCCCACGGCCACCCAGCTGGCCGAGGGCATCACGTGTCCTCTCCGCCACGCTCATCCCCACGCTGCCTCTCCCCACCCGGGGGCCTTCAGGGGGAGCCCCTCACCTGGGTGGTAGGTAAAGTGCTGAGGCTGACTTCGCTTCCTTTTCCCGTTGATGACGTAGAAGTTCACCTTCACCGACGTGCGGATGTGCTTGTTCCGATACTCAGGGATCTCAACAAACAGCATGTTCTGGAAGGAAGGAGGGGTCATTAACGTCCCCGAGACAGTACCTAACCTCCCATCCGAGGCCCCAAGCACGTGGAACCGGCCCATGCACCACACGGTGTCCCAACACGTTCCACACACTTACAGATGACACTCGATTCAAGGGGAATCGAGTGGCTTGTGGGCCGCAGCAAAGAAAGAACTGCCACTTATTCCACCAGAGTCTATTAAGACGTCACCGTACCAAGTCACAGGGCCCAGAGCTCAAGGGGCATTTAATTCACTCATTGATTCGATACCTACTGAGGGCCTGCTGGGCCCAAAGCACTGGGACTTGGATGAAGGGAAGGAAAGAAGGAGCAAAAGGCACAAGGGAGGTGGGCCAGGGATGCAACGGGACACTCAGTCATCTGGGGTGGGCGCTTACGGGCTGGCTCTTGTCCTTGTCCACCGTGGCCTCCATCTCCCAGATCTGCTGCCCATCTGGAAGGATGCAAAAATGACAGACTTTGTTGGAACTACCGGAAACCAGAGACTTAAGACAAAAACTCACCAGCTTCTGTTTATCTTGGTTTTTGTACGATATCATTTCAGTAAGGTGTCTGGGTGTGTGTCGTGTAGGTGTGAGCACATATGTATTTTTATTTTCCTACATGTGTATTTCTTTTTGCAAAGGAAACACGTGGTATTGACAGAAGACAATAGCAAATAAGGGGGAAAACTGCCCAGTATACCATCGCCACCATCTTTTTCTCTACATCTGAATGCCTATCTTTCACTCTTTAAAAAAATAAAAGCAGTATTGTTACACATTGTACTTCGCTGCACATTGTGTTCAACCAAAGGCTATGCCCAAAGTGCCCCGTTAGAGGTCCCTGGCTGTCCCAGACACGCCCCCTGGTTGTCTGAGAACACAGGTGGCTCACGGTCTGTCCTAAGGTGCCCTGGCCTGTGAGTCACTGGAGGGAAGGGAGACCCAGGAGCCCACCCTCCAGCGTTCAGGTGACAGACAGCCTGGATCTCCCACGACTCACTGCAGCAGTCGACGGGAGGTTTTGCTCAGTAGCAAACTCTCCTTTGCCAGAGCACAGCATGAGCTCCCCAGGCTGGGGCCAGCAAGCCAGGCCAAACGCAACTCTGCATTTGCGAATGACAGACTTCTTTTGCTGACCACCTACACTGGCTGCTGGGCAGTTTGGGGCTCAAACAGATCATCTTCCCCGGCATTTCCAGGGTGTTTTGTGGAACGGTGGCTCTGAAGATTATTGAGTGGGTTTACGAGAACAGCGAACAAATTCTACAAGCTAAGAAGCATTTGGAAAGCACTGAGTCCAAGTCACATGGGTTTCCCTGTTGCGGGACTTAGGGCCTTTCACTTGCTCATGTGCAGCATGATTCTCTGAGGCGGGCTAGCATGTGTACCATGTCTCGACATTTGGTCCAAAACCTCCTTACCCCCTTACAAAATCATATACATTTCAGGCAGACAACATTATAATTTGACATCTGCATACAGTACAAACTGATCGCCCCAAAAGTCTCCCCATACAACTGCGGCCTCGCCGACCTTCACCCACCTCCCAAACCCCTCCCCTCTGTTAACCACGGATCTGTTCTCTGTGTCTGTGAGTTTGTTTTTGTTTTGGTTCTGCTTGTTCATTTGGGGTTTTCTGTTTTTGTTTTTTTAGATTCCCAAATGGTGAGATCATACAGTTTTTCTTTCTCTGACTTATTTTACTTAGCATTATACCGTCAATATCCCATTCTATACGCCCCCCTTCAAACCACAGCTGTGAGCATCGTCTGTGATGGGTTAGCTTTGAACCTGTACAGTCTTGGCTCTTAAGGTTCAACCACAGCAACCTGGCTTCTGTGTACTACCTGCACTTCCTAGTACAGAACATATCTGCCAAAACAGTAAATAAGAAGTCTCGTGATTGCTCCCAAAGCTGACGTGATCTAGACAACCTTAAGGATAAACAAGCGATGACCCGGCTGGAGCCTCTGTGCCAAGTTGGTCTGCGAGTCTTGGCCTTGTGGGCTCATTAGGTGCGATTCCCGAAATGACTGAGGAAGCAACGGGCCCATGTCAGGGGGAGGAGGAGGAGGGTGGCCAGTGTGCAACTTTCACTGGAGTGTGAGATCCCCGTGGGAGGGGCCAAGCAATCGTCCTCACCACGTCCCCACCACCCGACAACTTGTAGGGGCCTAGAGGACGTCTCCTGTCACAGCAAATGAAAGTGTCTGTGGTTCCCAGGGCTGCTGATGGGGCCAAGAGAAGGCACTGCAGTCAGTGACAGTCACAATCTAAGGAGCAGAACGACCCAAGTGTGCATTGGCAGATGAACAGACACACCAAATGTGGTCTGTCTGTGCAACAGACTGTTATTCAGCCTTAAAGGGGAGGACAATTCTGAAACAGGCTGCGACACCACGAACAGACCTTGGAACACTCTGCTCCGTGAAATAAGCCAGATGCAAAAGGACGAACATTCGATGATCCCACCTATATGAGGCACACGGGAAGGGCAAAGTGACAGGCACGGAAAGAAGAATGCATGTCACCAGGGACTCGGAGGAGGAGCGAAGGGAGGGTGATTGTTTAATGGGTACAGAGCTTCTGTTTCAAAAACATATCAACGTTTGGAATATACAATGGTGGCGACAGTTATGCAACGATGTGAATATACTTAATGCCACTGAATTGCACACTGATAAATAGTTGGAACGGTCGATACATTATGTGTATTCTTACCACAATTAAAAAAATCAGTTGGCCTCACCCCCAAGACCTGGCTTGTTTGGTGGCCTGCAGAATGGCTTAGAGGCTTTTTTAAAATTGGCTGCTGCCATTTCAAAATGAGATTTCACCTAAAAATGCAGATTTTGCTCTTGAAAAAAAATGCAGACGATCTGGCCATTCAGGGTACCCACACGGGAACTTGGCCACGGCAGCCTCCTCAGACAATGCCAGGCCCCCCACCTTCCCAGGGCACCTCCGCCCTGACCGCCACATCCGTGGGCCCCACCTCAGTGGGCCTTTGAGAGGCAGAGATGGGTGCTGCCTGCCTCGGCCTCGAGAGGAGAGCAGGTGTCCTCCATTGGGTGGCCCAATGACATTCTCATGACCCGAGGACATCTGACCCTGGGGCCCTCTCGGTCAGTGCCCCACCCTGCTGCACACCCCTCCCAAACCAAGGACCGGCAGCAACTTGCATTCCTTCCTCCTGGGCCGCGGGCCCCTGGCCCCTCACAAGCAGAGCCCAGTGCCCTGCAGAAGCTCCCTGAGCTACCAGACAGCCCAGCCTCCTTTGGGGACCCCACTGTGCCCTCAGGCACCTCCCCACATGGGCCCAGGGAGCCCATGGTTCCAAGAAAACAGACACCCAGGAGGTGACGTCACACAGGCGCTGGCAGACAGAACTGTGAAGGCCCGGGGGACAGATTATGGAAGCAGTGTCTTTGAATTTTTTTCGGCATATATTCCAAAGCATGAGAATAAAATATTAGAAAAAATCACAAGGATTTTCTAAATTAAAAAAATAATACAGGTTCTGGCGGTTATAAATACTCCTGCCCGTGGGCATGGGCTGACGGTCATCTACAAAGGGACAGCATCTAACATGGGAGACAGGCGGCCGAGTGCCTGCTTCTCCTTCTTGGCTCTTGTCACTGTTATCACAATGTTGAGAGAGAGAAAAAAAAACTCACGGGAATGAGAAATTAAAACCTAAACCAGGAGTTAAAGCCAAGGTCCCACGTTCTCTGGCATTCACAGGCATCGAAGCCCAAAGGCAGTGTCACAAATCCTGCCTGGCTGTGCCTCTCAGGAGGGGTCTGCACTCCGTTCTGAACAAACAGGTCCCCAGTGGGAAGGTCCCCTGGGGCTGTCTTTGACTTTATGTGGCATGTGGCAGACACACTCAAGGGGCTGGTCTCTAAGGGAAGTGTGCTCTATCCCCAGTGCTGTGTGTCTGGAACGTAATAGATGCTCAGTAATCACTGACAAGGAACAAACTGGCCTCAAGATTCCCCAGCGCTCAGCCCACAGCCGGAGCTCAGGAACTGCCTGGCTACTGACCTCTTCGGCAAAAGGACCCAACAAAGAGAAATCACTGAGCCCTAGTTGAAGACTCCTTTTGGCAACTGACCAACAGAGGAAGGAGCCTGGAATACGGGTGCAGACAAGGAACCAGATGCACCCAGCCCCAAGTTCTGTTTAAAGCCACCTCCCATCCTACACTCAGGTCCCAGCCCCCGGGAAAGCCTGCCCAGAACAGAAGAGGCCGAGAAGATCAAGGACGCTTCTACCGCTCTGGGCAGGGATGAAATAAAGCACTTCGGTCTCTGGAGCAGATGTTCAGGCAAAGTTCCCCCGTCCTAAATTAACGGGGACCGGCAGCCAGCACGACAGCGGCCCTTCCAAGTCTTACTCAGAGAGGAAGAGGAAAGAGCCAACTTTTTTGGGCAAAGAGGTTGGGTCTAGAGAAGACTTAGCAAGAAAAAGAAAGAAAAAGATGGGGGTGGGTGGCGGGCCCTGCTCAATTAACATCAGAGCCTTCGATGTCATTGGCTGCAGTCCAGACAAGCCCGCCCTGACAGCCAGCGGTGGGCAGGCTGGGGGCCCCTATGCTTCAGCGGGTTTAATGGTTTCTCTTCGCAGGCAGCTCTGGGGCCCCACGTTGTAGCGAAATGTCAGGGAGCTGCGGGGTGGCGTGGAGTCTGGAGTGGGAAGCGCTCAGCCCTGATGAGCTGGGGCTCAAGTCGGCACTCGCAGGAGGAACAAGGGGGCCTTCGGGAGGAGAAGGAAAGTGGATCTGTCCTCACTTGGGCCGAGAGCGTGCCATGGGGCTCCAGGCAACAGGGAGGAGATCAAAACGTCAGTTTGGGTTAGGAGGCCGTGCGTGATGCATCCCAGTTCTGGCTTTTAAAAATCAGCTAAATGAAGATGGTGGAAGTCATGTTGGTTGCTTTACAACAGCTAATGAGCAGAAAAATGTGTAGTCCCCGGATGCACAGACTTAAGGAGCCAAGCACATGGGGGGCAGTAAGGAGGGTCCCCTTAGCTGAGGATTTCATCCACCTGAATGGCACAACGGCCACATGTGCCCAGTGAGATCTGAGAGGTTCCTGACCCCCAAGTCCTCCCTCTCTCCGCCACCCCCCCCACAACGGCAGGGGCTCCTCACTCACCTCCCAGCGTCCATTCTTTATCCAAATTGCAAGAACAATCTTTAAAATATGTCACACAGCCTGCCCCACCCCCACTGCCAAAAAAAGCCTCCAACAGCTGTTCATTGCTGAGGGAATAAAACCCAAACTGCCCACCATGCCCACAGGACCCGGCAAGGACCAGCCTCTCCAGCAACTCACACTGTACCAACCGCCAGGGCCTGCTTTCGGGCCCACCCCCACCTGGGGCCACAGCACCGGGCAGCTCCTTCTGCCTGGGACATTCCTCTACAGTCCGCCAGCTCCCTCCT